AATATACTTAATTATTTTATTTAAAATACTTTCACTAAGCTTCAATATTTACAATATACAGCACTTGTGCGGTACAAAAAGTTTTTTCTTTAAAAAAATTATTTTAGCAAAAATAATGCATTTTATCGAAGAAAAAACAATTTTACTTTAAAATTTTTAACAATCCATAAAGTAATTGTGACCAAGTCCGGATGCACGTCCATGGAAGTTACGACGATAGCAGATATTGGGTACGTTTTATTAAATATTCACATGACATGACACTGCGTTGTACATACACCTACATGAGTTTCGATCAAATTGCGGCTCTTCATTCGCACGTGTGTATAATGTGACAGAATTCGCGTGAAATGCCATAATATTGATGCGAGTAAATTCAAGTTTGCTGAGACGCACTGTCGTTAATGAATTTTGTAAAACTTTCAATGTACTCACGAGTGCTTACGAACGTGGACATTTTTTCACAATTTAATTTTTACGAATCCCGAACGTGATTTATGAAAAAAAAGGACGGCTTATCTTAATACAGTGTATTGTAGTGATATCATTGAAAACAGGGTATTATTCGAATTTCTAAGGGCTTACAAAACTCATTAGGGGAGTGTGTCAGTGTGAGAACTTGATTAATGGCTAAGTTGTATTATCATCAACTATTGTATTACTTCTATTGAATTTCATGATTTTGAGCAGCAAAAATTAATGCAAGAAATCTGTACATAAAACGTTTAGTCCTACTTTGTCGAAAATCCTTGATCGAACTATGTGCACCTTTTATAGCAGAAGGTTCGGGTTCGGTAAATATTACTATTTAATATTGTTATCTTATTCATAGTACTTAATTTGTCATAAATTTTCTAGAAAATTTTTCAATTTCCCATCATTTATATTATTTGTATGGATTATATTATATTCGTATAGAGTATATATTGTTATTATTACTTGTAAAGAAAATTATTGATAAAGACTTTTTGTGATTTTCACCACTTTAATTGCATTAATAATTTATTGAACAAAATTTGATTTTTAAATAATTATGTAAACTAATGAAGTGAAAAATCTATGATGTAAAAAATCTATTTATAATAATACAGGTTACTAAATGTTTTTTT